GTATTTGTAAATATGTTAGTACATACCTAGAAAGCATATTGTTTGAATTGTTTGTCCTGGTTGCTTGGAATAAGAGTGTAAGCATTATTGTTCATTTTAATGTTGCCTTCCTTCAATTCAATATTGTTTTTGTTTGGGTTTTCAATAATAAATGTGTTTGTTATGTTTTCTACAGTTTGGTTTGTTTTATACACAATGTTAGCTTGATGTTTAGTGTGTGCAAGCTTTGTAGCTTTAGTAGAAGGTTTGTAGCATTCCTTAGAGAAATGTCCTGTTTTTCTACAATTGAAACATTTTGCTTTTGTTAGATTGAACAGATTTGGCAGATTGAATTTCCTCTACTTATTAGCTTTATATATTGTATTAGTATGTACATTATTCTTTGTCTGATCATTGGAATCTTGTGCTTGTTTAGCACAGTAATCATTGTAGGCATTCTACAATGTAAGGATTAGTTGCTTCAGTTTGACTTTCTTATGTTTATTGACTGGTTTGCCTTTGTTTTAGACATTAGTAGATTGTATTATTATATTTACTATGTGTGTATATTGTTCAGGAGTGGTAAGCAATATTGCTACTTTGTATGTAGAGTTGTATAGTAGATCACTGTTAGCAGACAGAGTTGTGTATACTTCCTCAAGTCTGTCTAATGTATGTCTGAAATGTTTTACATAGTCTCTACAAATAAACAGTACCAATTTGTTGATAACCTTTTTACATACTGTCTAGGGATTAAAGTGTTCTTTAAGCACTTTCATTAACTGAGGGATAGATGTATTAAAGTACATATAGTTTGCCAATATTGTATCAGTAATGTTATTAACTATACATGTATGAATAGCCTTAGCTATCTTCCTCTCAGCTTTGTTCTGTGGTTCATCCTTTAGTAAGTGTTTAAAGTATGTAGCTACAATACTAGAAACAATGTAGTAGTGCTACATCTTGTAGTTTGCTTCAGTCTTAAGTATTATAATGTTTTGACTAAAGTATTTAGGTACATTAGCTAGTTTACAGTGTGTATCTGTATGTAAGGGAACCATAATACAAATGTGTGCAAATGTATGTGAGTAAAGGGTTTAGAGTGTACAGTGAATGTGTGTATACAGGGAGCTCAAGGCTCATAACCTGTTAAGAGGGAAAACTTAAGGGGGGCACACATAGACAAGGGGTAAGGTAACAATTGACTACTCAGTGTCTCTTATCCTTATATTGTATGTATTCTAACTAAGACATTATAAAGTCATTGTCTTGTGGTTTGTCTGTTAATAAACTAATCATCTCATAATAGTTAGTGTGTATCTAGACAACATTCTAATCTTTACTTAGACAGTTAAGTACTATTACTAACTAATCTAAGTAGTTCTATAGTAACTCTAAGATAATAAACTGTTTCTCTAAGAAGTAAAGTGTTCTTTTGTATAGGAGTTAGTAGATTATCTAAGCTTTGTAATTAGTAGAGGAGAGGTCTGTATAGATCCAGCAAAGGTAACTACAGTTTAGAACTAACTACAATCTTAGAACCTGAAACAGGTTTAAGTATTCCTTAAGTTTGTAAACTACTACTAATACTTTATTTAAGACTTTAGTACTATTACTTAACCTCTTTACAATCTTACTAGCAAAAATGTTCCATAGTAATAGAATGTTTAGAAGTAGTCTGTGTTTGAGTCTCTCAAGTAGGCTATTATTAGCAAGTCTGTATTAGTAGTTCTAACAGTTGTAAACAAGTTCTGAGTTAAAGCTAACTCTTCTGACTTTACAAATAGAGTAGTACTGTTCTAGTTTATTAATAGAAAGTAGTGTCTAATTGTAAGGAAACTCACTGTTCCTCACAAGAGAATTCTAATCGCCCTTAGTTCACTCAACTACTGACTGGGATAACCTAGTACTCGAGTGAGGGGTCAGGGGAAAAGAATCCCCTTTACCTAGCAGTCAATACTGTCTTTTATAGGGGTATACATGTGTAGATACATGAGGAGGAAGTGTAACTAACTACAATGAGAATATATGCACTTGTGGGTCCTACTGTACAATGATCTGACACAATCAGCAATGTAGTAGTAATAAAATACGAACCAGTAAATCAAATCCTTACACTTGCCCTCTAGCATTTAGTCCTAAATACTAAAAATCAGTAGAAAAGGTAGAGAACTTACTTAAAAGTAACAGTTAGTAACAAGTAGATAATGAAATACCTTGCCCATGTGTATGGGAAACATCCTCATGATGTAGTACTGCCTCTCTGAACTGATCCGAAGTTGATCTGGTGCATATTGAGACAGTGGTGGTGTTCTGGACAGTGGGTAGCATGGTTCCAAATCATGTGAAACTAGATAAAATGTCAATAGAATTAAACATGGTCAATATTACTGTATAGTCAATTAGTAGAAAAGTTGCCTCTTGATTGTCACTATCAATACAACACTTTTCAAAGAGAATCAGTAGAGTTCCTGGGGAGATATAGCATTTTAGCTCTTGAGTATTCTGAGACACACAGTGTAGATCAATATGTACAGAAGTGGAAATTCCAGCAGTGTAGTAATTGCAAATATTCTCTTCTCCCACATCTTCAGGAAGCACAGAGGTAAATCCCTGATCAACAAAGCTATAGCCTTCTTCCTCAATAGAATGTATTAGTGTTGTGGCTTCTAGCTGACCTTGCATGTTTCTCTACTCCTGTAGAATAGTCATGCAATAATAGGTAGCAGAGATGTATTCCAAAATTCCTCTACTATGTCCTTGATTTTTCCAATAAACTAGTTCCTGCAAATGTAATGCCTTACACTCATATTGATAGAATATGTCTGAATGTGTACTCCTTTGCATGCAATAACCAACTGTGATACAAAACTGGATATCCTGTTGAGCCTGATGTCCAAATACTAATTGCAGAGTGCAACCTAGAGTGTAATATCTGTCCTTGAATGAAAATATTGTTTCAAATTCAATGAGATCATAATGTATGAGTCTAATATTACTAGATATGTGTGTATATGCACAGTATCTCTGTGCACAATGAATGTCCTGCTGTATTCTCATACTGTTTCCTTGTGTCTCAACTTGTTTGTGTCTTTGTAAGTTGACTGATTCGATTCCTGAATCGTCCAAGTATACTTTTACTGTCTCATAGTGTAATGTTCTATCACAAAATGTCCAAGTAGTGTTCTCTACTTTCCTGAGTGCTGTAACTGTCTGTATACTGTGTTGTTCCATGTATGTCTCAATGAAATATCCTGTCTGTATGTACAGTAGCACTGCCTGAATTCCTGAGTGTATGCTGCCAGTTCTCTGTTCATTTAGCAAATCCATGTGTGAATCAATACATTCTAGCATTGACTTCCTGTCTTTCTGTGTCCTTGTCCTTGTTCTGATGTATTCTTTCCTTGTGTACCTATCATGTGTCCTGTTTCCTGTGGTACTGATACTGTCTGGTCCTACAAAGTCCTTTGCAAAATTGTTCTGTAGCAATCCAAGTAAGAAAATTGTATGTTCAAACCTGTAGCTTGTATGCTCAAAGAGTGTGTATACAATACAATGTGTGTGCCTCTCACCCTCTCATTGAAATATGACTTCATTTTCAGTGTAAAACGTCTGGTACTGTCCTAGAACATATCTGTAGTGTCTGGAGAGGTCTTCTGCATGTTTTTGTACTTCAAACTGATTGTAACTACTCATTCCTAGAGTAGATTGAACTGTATCATTGTTTAATAGATGTCCTTGAGCTTCCTGATGCTCTATTTCCTTCTGTATTGTCAAAGTATCATTCCTGAATGCTCAAATAGTCTGATCAATCATTCCTAATTCACTATTGCTCTGATATTTGCTGGCTGTATGTGTATTGCCTTTACTTTCCCTTGAAGCAGTGTGATAATCTGTTTGAGCAGATTGAGCAGATTGTCTGGGTTCCAAACCTGTTCTCTGGCTTGAAGTTGCCCTCTGAACTTCTGTACTTTGTTCCATACAATGTGTATTGTTTCCTAATCTCAGTAGTGTCTTACTATCCTTGTGTTACATAGATTATAACTGTTTTACATCCTGTAGATTGTAATTGTCATCCTGTAGCTTGAATAACACGATTCTTACTATGTATCCTAAGTATATGTACACTAGTGCATCCATTTGAGTGCCTGTAATGTCCATAATACGTCTGATAAAGTATCCTGAGTCTATTCCAATGAATCCTGACTGTCTGAAGGTGTATTTTGTAATGTAATACCTTATGTTCTCCTGAAACTGTGTTCTGTACAATATATCCTTGTAGTCTGAGCTGGTTTTAATGTTTCTGAACAATTCTTCATCATGAACTGAATAGTTTTGTAGTGTAACATCCAATTGTACCTTATAGAACAATGTTCTATAGCTAAATTACTTTTGATTGTGCTCATTACTGACCGTTTCTTCAATCCTGAAGATGGAAATGTCTGTT